TCTAATTTCTCATATATAGTAAAAAAAAGTGTCTCTTCTGAGTTGAAGATAGCCACATCATCGATGCTTTTATTTTAGACTAGAGAGCTTTCATCTCTTTTAGTTTTGTATAAATTTTGTCTTTATATTCATTAAGAGAAATATCCTTGTAAGTAATCTGAGATGTTAGAGTATTTAATTCTGAGTGCAATAGCTTAACCTCATATATAAGTTGGTAGATATACTTGGAAAGTTTCTTTTTATCTTTATTAGATCAATTTAGATTTCATTGTATATGCTTATTGTCTTTATTCAAGACAAAGCATTTATTAGCAAGTCAATTGCCACACTCTATAGCAATTTCTCAATCTCGATTTGCACAAGCAAGCTGGTTTTCAAGTTCTGTTTGACTAGGCAGATATTGGTTTGATATTATGTCTTCAAGTTTTTTGCATTTACCTATATCTGATAATGTATAGATTCGAAGCATATTATCCAATTCTTATAGATATCTAAAAAATTAATATATTTGTATTTTGAATGTAATATATTATATAGAATATACATATTAGATAGAATATAAATATTTGTTATAATGTATTAGATTAAATATACATATCTGTTATATAGAAAAATGAATAATATTATTCTGTATATTCTATCTTTCTAATATATTTTAATATTTTAATATATTTTATATTTTTTGTTAGATATAAACATCTTATATTTATATTTACTGCTATATTTAGAATATGTATATGATCTGATGCACCCCTATTTTCTTGGGAAGATTATTCTTATATTATGCAATGTCGTGATATAAAACCAAGATATAAAATTTTAAATGACTTGATGAGTAAGTATAAAACATTAACAAAACATATTTATCAGATTTATAGAAGGGAAGAAGCTAATAGAGTTCTCTGAGATCAACCTATATTCCATAATGATGATAATAATAACTTTAATCAAAATTTAAATATTTTTTATAATGTACAAAGTATACAAATACAGTCTAGTATATTTAGCCATGATGTGTCTACCTCTGACAATAATTCATCTAATACAAATGATATAATTTACTTTAAAGTTTCACTAGATAAATTAGCAGAGATAACACGACCAAAGATGAGTCAAAAACTTGAAGCTCAGCTTCCTCAAAATTCTAATTTCTCATATATAGTAAAAAAAAGTGTCTCTTCTGATAGGAAGTAAGTTCCATGTCTTAAAGAGATGCTCCCTACAGGACTGCAAAGCAATAATATATCTAGAAGGAAAAACAATCTTGAAAAATTAATAAAAGACACTAAAAGATTAGCTCCTATGCTTCCATCTTTGTCTCAGTAAGCTGAGAACATCTTTCTGCAAGAGCTTTATCTGCTTTTAAAGCCATATCAAGCCACTCTTCAGTCTTTATAAGTTGCTTTTCAAGTTCATCATATTTTTTTTTAAGTCTTTCGTATTAGTTAAGCTAGATGGGCTCTTGCTAAATGTTGAAATAATATAAGACTTACTATGTAATTTCATTCAGAATTGGTTTTTATTTGGGTCAAGAATATCTTGAACTTTTCAAATCTATGTCATACCTAAACATAATATTGGTTCAGGTTCATCATTATTAATATGTGTAAAATTTCTAGTAACTGTAACAGTTTTATTATCTTTATCCTTTATATTAACTGGCACATCTGTAAACCATCTCAACAATTCGATAATATGTTTAGAGTTATCTTTTATATCAAAGTCAGATAGCTTGTCAGCTTTCTATCTGAGGATATCAATTGTTGCATCATTTAAGGCTCCAAATTCACTTCTATTATCTAAAAAAGATTCAGAAATAGATAAATCATTTATACTAGCATTTAGGTATTGTAGAGATGAGAACCACTCATCTGATTTTGATTTTTCTTTCTGAACAGTATGAGATTAATATATTTTTCACATTGCTGATGAAAGCTTAAACAATAGCTGATTATATGTTTCAAAGTAGTTAGTTACTAAATCAGAAGAAGGATTAGCAGAGTTACCAGATAAGTTTTCATTTACTGATACTCATTTTTTTTTCAAAATCATCATACTATATATCATTTTTTTCATTATACCCACTATTTTTATTATTAGCTGAAAAGTTATAATTTATCGGTTGAAAAGGATAATATTGTTGTATTCAATTTGATTTGGCTATCAGTTTTTTGGATTGGTTGTTTATATTAAGATGAGATAATATATGCCCAAATTTATCTATTTTTCTTTAATCTAATAGAGTTATCTTTTTGCTATAGATGAGATCTTTGAAAAGGTTTTTTAGAATAATTTGAATCTAAATCTTCTTTACTATATATATCTAAATCGCTAAAGTATTTCACTATATAATAATTTTCATAATCTTTTTCTGTTTTTAAATTTGATAGGAGGCCTCTTGGTTGTCTAACTGGTTCAATAGTTTGTGAAACTAATGTCTGTGTTTTCTGTGCTTTTGAGGATTGAACTTCCTTTCTCAATTTTTCTATCTTAGCATCATAATTGAATTTTTGTTTTACTAATGCCTCATCAATTATTTTTTGTGTATCAGATATAGGAAATACTGATTGCAGAATTATAGAAGCTTCTATTATTTTGGTGTTATAGAAAGATTGTTGAGAAACTTAATCATTCAAATTTGATGCGCACTTCAGCTATATGTTTTTTAGTTCAATAAAAAATGCATTAATGCCTGCTAGATTAGCTATTCTTATCCAAGTGCAAAAATCACTTATTAAGTGGCTTTTAAGGAATATTATAACTTGCATATTATTGTCTGCCACTCCTAATAATAGTAGCCGAACTTTAGCTTTATAAGTATCTGGAGTATCATAAGATTGGTATTTTTCTTAAATCAATCTTTGTATAGCTGATTGCTGATTTTTAACTGTCTTCTGTTGGTATTTTGCTCTCATCCAAGCCTGTAATATATCTAAAAAATTTATAGCTAGATTTTCTACTTTAAGATTATTATTTGCTGGTACTGGAATATATTTTTCACCTATTATAGATTTTAAAATATTACACTTAACTGCATTGTCAAAATCTTCTGCATTTGCATTCTCAAAAACCATCATATGCCCTTCAAAATATGCCTATAATTGAATAACTTTATTCAAGTAATTATTAGGTAGTTCTTGGCCTGTATAAGGTGGAAATTTTGCAAGAGCAGAAGCTATTAATTTTAATACCAGTAAACATCTAGCATCAGTCATATTTATTTAATTTAGTAAATTATTATAAAGTGCCAAAATTTGTTGATTTAAATTTAAAATATTATGGCACTCTGTATAGGTTTTATTTTTCTACTTCTCATATTATTTATATAATCTATCTTAATTATATTCTAGCAAATCTCTATACCTTCTGTATTGCTATAGATGATGAGCCTTTTGCAGATACAGTAGTTGAAAGGCAAATTTTTCCTGTAGTAATACACCAATACAGGTTCATTTTTCTGTTATATTGTCTAACATTCTGTTTACTTGATTTTGAGTATTAGTTCACAACTGCTGAAGATCAAGCAATGTCTGATCTTGCTCCTGTCTGTACTTATCTCAGTCCTATTATACGTTTACCAGATCTTGTTGTAGATTAGCATATTTACATTGAATTGATCTTGTTAATCTTTTAATTTAATTTGTTAAAATAGTTCTACATATTGTTGTATCATTTAGAGATTGGTCTATAGCATCAGCTAACTCAGCTATTGTGCCTATATCTAAATCAAAAGTATAATTATTTTAAGAATTTTTATCAGAATTAGATTCATCTTTATTATAATTCTATGCTTGTGCATTTTCTAATGCCTTTTATATATTTATAAGTTCTAATCTATCTCAATATCTTAATAATGTTGATGCAAAATTTTGACAAAGCAGTTCTGTAATATGATTTTTTTGCTAATTTATTTTACTAATCCTATTTATTTAATTTGTTCTTACCATATTTATTTCTTGTTTAAGATGTTTATTCTCATTTACTAATCTGGTTATATAATCTTGTGCTTTAGGTATATTTCTAGCTGATTTTGATATTTCTTGTATTTTGGTTTTTAATTTTGTTTCATGTTCATCGAATTTTAATATTAATTTAACCTTATTTGAGATTTTTTTATCTTTCTTTTTATTTTCTTTTTCGAGCTAATAAATGATTCTTTTTAGTTTTGAGATTTTTTCTGTTAACTCTTCTTTTTCTTATATAGAAAGTTCTATAGCATTACCTAACTCTTCTTTAGAGAATCGTATTCTTTTTTTCTGTATACTTATAACTCTTTTTAAGATATATAGTCACTATTCGAAATTCTTATTTGATTCTGCTAATTGCAATACCACCTCATAGAGTTTTTGGTTAGTCTGTTGTAACATGTCTATTGTTTTTTTATTAACTATAATGCTGTCTACTGCAAGTTCATATTCAGATATATATTGTTAACTATTTTTTATTATACTATATAATCCTGACAATAAGAAAAATAAATTGGCAGAAAATGAGAAAATTTGTGATTTATATTGACCCACAGAAGGCCTGTGATTTGGATAGAGAAATCATTTTGCAAAAACTATATTATAAGCCTAAAGGTTATTATCAGACTACTAAAAAAATGTGTAATGCTTGTAAGAAGGCAGAATATAAGTTCACTTTTGCTATAATAAAAAATTGGCTTAACAAACAGGCCTTATATCAGATTTATAAGTCTTGGCCAAAATTTATCCAATATGCTTTTTTTAACAATATATAAACATTGAATAAAGTATATCAGTCTGATACTACATCTATGTCTCATGATAAAGTTGGCAATCAAACTTATAATTACCAAGGAGTAATAAAGAATATTGCAACTAGATATTAGCACAGTTTCACTTTAACTAATAAAACAGCTATGTAAATGGCTAAAAAGATTTAGAAAATTTATAATAATTCCAATTGCCTATTTAGCTGGCCAAAAGTTTTAATTATAGATGAAGAAACTGAATATATGGGTAAGTGTAGGGATTTATTTCTCAGACATGGTGTAAGAATTCAGTATACTAAAACTTAACGAAATGTGGCTATTGCTGAGCAAGATCACCAAGAATTTGAAAAGCATGCCTTTTTTTATCAAGATGCTATAGACTTACATTTACTATTGACTAATAGATCTAGAAAGTAGGTTGTTAGTCTTTACATTAACGATGATAAATATAATAATTCCTCTACAAAGTTAATACACATATTACCTAATGAAGCTATAAAAAAATCATTAGAAGGTGAGAAAATCTTTGCAGATCTAGCTGTCAAGCACAAAAGGCCTATAGGTTATAATGAACCTCTTCTATTATCTAATGTTAAAGTTTAGCATTTATTGGAACCTGGTAAACTAGAAGGCTAGACAAGGAGGACTACTGATTGTAACTGGTCCTCTGAAATTTTTTTGATCAAATCATTTTCAAGAAAAAATAACTAGCCAGTTTTCTACAAGCTATGTAATAGTCTAAGATGCCTATTCATAAGAGAAGAACTTCAAATTAAAAAGAATGTGCATTTACCTCCTAGGTGGATATTAGAAGGAAACTGAATGCATTCAAGGCACTTTTGATAAAAGTTGGCAGATCAACAACACAATAAGGAATTGTAATAAGAATTATATCTTTCTTAAAACAGAGTGTTCTCTTCTTCCAATCATGTTGAATTTGTGCATCTAAATTAATTTGTTCTTGTGAATAGAAAAAAGAAACAATTTGAAAATGTTGATTGCTATTGTATTTAAAGGCCAAATGTAATTCCTCATTATACCCATCAAGCTGTAAACCTTTTAAAAATTTGGGTTTTTGAGATGGAAATTTCTTATATAATAATTCTTTGAATATATATTGACATCTTTGCTCAAATATATAAGGACAACTATTACATCATCTATAATTCTGCTTTATATCTTTATAAAATGCTTCCTATTGATGTTGATTTTTGCATGACCATAAATAAATATCTGCATTGGATCTAGCTTTAGCCAAGCATTCTCCTTTACATCTTTTGACATAAGTAAAAGCTTTGGTATCAATCTTATTATAATCTTGCATTTTTATAATATAATTGAAGTTATATGATTTTTTAGATTTTTTTCTAATACATTTAATGTAAGAAAGCAAAATATAAAAACTATATAATAAAAATATCACAAAGTACTATATAACTACCAGAAAATAATAGCAGAACTGGTGTTAAAGCACACATATTCTCATTAATTAAATCGAATTTTCAGATTCCAATAAAAGAAATAAGAGTGGTCCTTGTTATAGCAAGTACTTTAATGTCATCTCTATCAGCATATATTTTTCTTATCTTGTTAATTATTGCAGTTATATAGTTTGTAATATTGAGACATATATGGAGATTGGAAAAGAAAAGTGATCGATTCTGGGATATGTGGGTTGAATAACTAGATATTATAATTGAACTTGAATATTATTTATAAATGAAAAAATATAATTAATATTGTATATGTATCTTAGTGGAGTCTGGCAATTCTAACCAAGATACTTAACAATATAGATCGACAATTTTGTCAATATCTGATTCAGATAAGTTGTCTTTTTTACTGTTTTGCATAATAAATAATGCTTGAAAACATGCAATCTTAAGACCAGTTACCTTATACTATGTATTCTAGAAATCTATTAATGCTTTACACTCTAATTTCAGATTATATTGAAATATATATTCTTTCAAAATTGTAATATTAGTCTTGTATTTTTGTGCCTGCATAATTAATTTATACAACCTATTTCTATATTCTACATTAAGCTTAGAAAATTTTGAAAATAAATCTGATAATTTTAAATGAATAGAATCTGCAATTTTATTTAACATATTAAGGAAATTATTATTAATCATGTCAGCTTTGCTAATACCAGAACATATTTTTTCTGCATAAGTAGTAGCATCTTTTTATAAATGACAGATAATGGCTTCCTTTTTTTTCAAAGCATCATATAAGTTCTTAATATAATTTTTGAGCCATTTTTTAGCCAACTTCTATGACTTTTCATCTTTAATTTTTGCTATTTTATTTTTATCTAGACTCAGAGAGTTATTGCTCTGCAATAAATCCTTAACAATTTTTAATTTCTTCTTCTTGAATTTCTTTTTGTGATCTATGACTTTTGAGAGAGATTCAGGTGATAGTTAATATTTATTATTATAATTTCTAAAACAGATATAGACTTTCAATATAATAATTAATATTTATTTTCTTGTTGAACTTTTTTACCACATCTGGGTATTCCATACAGTCTCCTTTTTGTTGTGTTATTTTTTTTCACAGTTATTATAAATCTCTTCAGGTACTACTACAATGTAACTAAATTGTTTACTAGGTTTGGGGACTTTATATAGGCATTCATTAGCAGGAAAACCCTTCTTTATAAGCTGTTGATTTTCCAATACTTCATAAGAATACTTAGCCTCTATTCATAAAACAAACCATTCTACAGAAATATTTCTCTGCTTACCTTTCTTTTTAGGCCTCCATATACATGTCTGAATAAATTTATCATAATCTAACTTGGAAAGTTTTTTCACATTTTCTCAAAGAACTTTTTTAACAATCTGGTATATTGTCTTCTTATTACTGACTTTCAAAGTTCTATTCATAATTTCCTTATCTACATCACAGAAAAGCTTAGATTAACCTCATTTTATAATATTTACTCTTCTAATAAAAAGCTTACCTAGATTAAAGTTTGGTTTTTTTTTATACTCTAGACTATAGTATTTTTTTTTTTCTGTAAATATCACAAGAAATAAAACCTTCTCATATGCCATATTAAGATAAGGCATTCTATTGTCTTTTTCAAGCTTAGTATTTACTTCATTATGAAGGTTTGCCATCACTTTCATAAATATTTTTACTATTTCCTTTCAGTATTCTTTTTGTGAAAGTTGATCTAATTTATATTTTCAATCACATTCCTGGAAACACTCCTCTAGACATGTAAGATATAAAGAATCAGTATCTCTATATTTAACACCAAACCCTTTGTCTTCAACAAATTTATTAACAAATTTAATATTACACTGTTCAGCAGAAGTAACTCTACTTGCTAACTGCAGTTAATAGAATGAAGAGAGATTATTACCCGCCTTACTATAAAATGTATTCATATATAATTTTACTGTCTTTTGTTTTGAGTCTAAGCAACTATATTTAAAACTTTCTTTATCCAATTCATTAAGGCATTTTCTTATTTTCTTTTGTTTATTAAACAGATTCTCCAATATTCTAGCATATAAACTCTTTTCTTCAGATATATTATTGTGGCAAATAGACCAAGCTTCTATAGTTTGACTATTGAATAGAAACTTAATCATGTGGATCTTTTTTCTATTGCAAATTACATTTATCACCTCTTCATAAGATAATATTATTTTATTTGGTGAAAGGTTGTAAGTCATTATAAGACTTGGATATAAGAAGGCAAAATCTAAGCCTGTTACTAGATGTTTGTTTTTGAGACCCTTTATTAGTATAATAACATAAGCTCCTAGGTACTTACCAGATTTTGTATTTTTTAAAGCAATTATACTACATAACATATTACTGCTCCAAGTTTCAGCTCCTAAAAAATTACATACTTTCATACCTTCTGTGAAATAGTGAGTATCAAAAAGAGAAACATAAGCAATAGATAACACCTCCCAATAATCATTAACTACATTATACTTAACCATAAACTCCTAGCATCACAATGCATCTATAATACAATAATCAGCTATTCCACGCATGTTTTTAGCTGAGCTGTCAGAGTTTTGAAGTATAAGGCATATCTGTCTTACTACTTAACCCACAGATATTTAGATAATATTTTAGTAAACTTGCCTCTAATTTTAAATATAACTTTTTGAAACAAGCACAGATATCAATTGGAATACATCCTGGGACTTTGAGATATTTTGAATAGAATTTTTTATTAGATGTCTTTATTTTACTTTTTCAATATTTCTATTTTATAATTTCTTCAATGTTGGATAGTTCTGGCAATATATGATTATACATCTATTCAAGAATGCCTAAACTTTTAGCTTTTTTTATAATGAAAGGCCAGTCATACTGTGAATTATTAAACCTGATTTGTATATCTGACATGATTACTTTTCAACAAAGAGCAAATGCTTTTAATAAGTTTGTTTAATTTTTATACATGACTGTAACCCAATCTGGATCAGATGCTGTTTTAACATCAACAAGACAAATCTGTTTTAATAGCTTTGGATCATCCCTTCAATGTATGGTCATGCAAATTATAAAAACTTGATCCTCTTTATATTTTACCATAGGTACATCATCCATCTTACAACTACTATATGTTTCTATATTCCAGGTAAGCACAAGAGTTCGATCATGTATGAGAGCTGAAGATACTATTTGTTCATCTGGCTTATTATCCTCTAAAGGCTGAAAATTATTTACAGATACATGAAAATAATAATGTGATAAATTTGTATTTGATATATAATTATAATTGCTTAATATAGCCTACTCAGAGAGTGGTAGTCTTTCTTCACAGGCTACCTTTCAATAATAATAAACATTAGTGATATTATCTGATACTGTTTCAATGTTGTGCTTATGAACCTCTTTTAAAATTCGTATTCTATCATAATAATTCTATGTCATGATATGAATATATGCCTTTTTCTTAGTATGGTAACCATGAATTGGATACACATGAGTGACTTTTATTTCAAACTTCGATTTATTAATCTTTTTCACTCCTGATATAATTTTTACTAATCTTAGTTTGAATATAGATAAAAGTTTGTTATTGGGCACGATGACATCAAAGAAGGGTTTAATATCTGTAATGTCTATCCTAGCCTTTTCTCTATTAATCAAAGTGTCATGAATATGTAGAATATATGTCAATACATTTTTTATATACTTAATGGCATTACTCATACTATTAGACATGAAGTATATAGGCTGTTTATTGAATAAACTTTGTTGAAATATAGCTGTTAACCCATTATCACATTCTAAAATAATATCACTGCAAGATGGAATTTCTGCTATGGTTTCTCTGCTCCTGTATCATGTTTGCTATGCACTTTGTTTACTTATTTTTGGTATTTTGTTTTTTATTGGTATATATCAACTTTGTTCGATTATATTATTACAATATAGTTTGAAAAAGTTTAAATTAATTTTTTTTCTTGCCTAGTAAGAAATAATAAAAAAAGATGCATCAAGTTTTAGTAAGATGAATAAAGAGAATTGCAGTCTCAATTAGTGAATTACTTTGGATATATAACTTTAGTAATAGATTATGAGAGATAGCTAACTTCAGTAATATATTATAATAATTATAGAAGAAGGCTATTCATTCCTAAAGTATGTTTTCAAGTATGTCTTTATAATATTTATTTGATGACATATTTTGGGTATGTTTTCAAAGTAGCTATCTTTAGTAATATATTATAATAATTATGGGAGATGGCTACCTATTTTATTGGTATGTTTTCGAATATATGATCATGGTAGCTAACTTTAGTAATATATTATAAAAAAATAAAGTTGGTTACCTATTTTTCTGGTATGTTTCTGGATATATTTTTGTGTATATGTCAGGGTAGCTAACTTCAGTAATATATTATAATAATTATAAAAGAAGGTTACCCATTTCAATGTATGTTTTCGGGTATGTGCTTAGGATATATAAGTTAAGTAATATTATGACACTGATGACAGTGTCATATTTTTATCATCACAACATTGATGATGGAAATCACCAAACCAGCAAATAATATGTCACATGTAGAAGTGATGATGCGAATATAAAATCATTATTATAATTTTTATAGGTTGTGAAATATTCAAGTTTGATGACAAACTTGTAAACTAATCATCACTTGAATGATAACAAACTCATGAACTAATCATCACTCAAATGATGATGAACTTATGAACTAATCATTACTTGAATGACAAAGCGAATACTAATATATCTCTAATGACACAAGTGTGAATCATTTGTTACTTAAATGACAGAGCAAATACTAATATATCTCTGATGACATAAGCATAAATTGTTCATCACTTGAATGATGACAGACATATCATCATAAGTAGGTATTAGTCTAGAGAAATAAGTAGATAACAATCTGAAGTAAGTAGGCAACATTATATATATATAATGTTGTCTACTAATGTGTTGCCAGTACAGTAAACATGAGTTGTCATGTATAGTGAGTTGGGTCAAAAAAAGAAGTTTATGGTATTTGAGTTGTTTTTTAAAGATGAAATATTTTGGATTAGAAAAAAAAAGAATTTTAAGGAATATAGTTTTATCATTTAAAGTATATAGAATGTTGTAGATTGGGCTAATTGAAAAAGTCTAGCCTATATGTTTAATAAGTTGTATTATTTTAAAGTTTGTAGTTAATCGATTGGGTCTATTAATGATTAGTTTAGGATGAAGAAAAATATTAGTAGAAAACCAAAGGTTGTTTTGAAGTTGTTGAATATGTATATGAATAGATATGCCTAGTAAATCAAGATTATTAAGTCATTTGAGAAGATTGGAAATATGATGTTGTAGTTGAATATTTCAGATATATTTAATGTTGTAGATTTGAAGATGTAATAAAGTACTAGATGATATTGTATAACAAAGTTTAGCTTTGAGCTTAACAAGACCAATGTATTGGGTGAAAATTTTATTGCAAGTGGATTAGTTGATAACAATATTATATAAATGGTATTCAATAGTAGGAATAATAACTGTATTGATAATATAGTGAGCATATAAATTAGTTATACATTTTGTTTTTGCAATTTGAATAAGTTGGAAGGATTCTAAGATAATTAATTTTGTTTGTTTGAATTGTCTGTTATCTAAGATAAACCAGCAATCTAAAAATTTAAAGAGTTGTTTAAAAGAATAAAGTAGAAGTAAATGGTTATTATAAGAGATAGGAGTGTAGTGAAATGGAGAGTTATTAGTAACTAGAATGGATTTTAAAAAATTAACTTGGATGTTTGCTATAGCATAAAATAATTCAGCTATAGATAGTATGTAAGATAACTATTATTATATTATTATCTTAGTATATTATTATTTTTTATTATTATATTATTTATTAGTTATAGTTATTTAATGCTTTAAATATTTTAATGCCTTAAGCTTGTAATACTAATCACTTAGTCACTTAGTTACTTAGTTCTTTAATTGCTTAGTCACTTAGTTTCTTAGTTGCTTAGTCTCTTAGTTACTTAGTCTCTTAGTTATTTAGTTGCTTAGTCACTTAGTCACTTAGTTATTTAGCTACTTAACTTACAGATATATAAACATATAAAATTCTTTTAAGTCAAAGCAAGTTTTACAGTCAACAGTTTTAAAAAAATAGACAATTTTTCTTCTCTTTTATTTTGTAAATAATATCTTAAATTTTTTAGAACAAATGTCTAAAGATAACTTTTCTTGTTTT